CTTGTTCTTCTTGTTCTTCTTGTTCTTCTTGTTCTTCTTGTTCTTCTTGTTCTTCTTGTTCTTCTTGTAATTAAACAGAAACGTTTCACTTGAAATAAAAAGGAAATTAATTCGTTTAAATTAATATTACACAAACAATAATTTGTAACAAGTAATAAGTGTATTTAACGGTAAACTAAGGAGCAATGATTATAGATGTTTGTCCTACATTATCTCACCTAAAGAATACAATATTATAAGTTTCCTGTTTTTAGAGTTTTAACAATATTATAAAGACAAAGAGTTTTCTTTGGAAAGTCTTTTTCAAGGACAGAAAAGGGTGAAAACATTGAAAGATTCTAGTATTCTCGTACGATATAAGCCTTCAATGAAGAAACAACCAATTGTGCACAAGAATTGAACGTTCTCATTGAGGAAAAATTACACAATTAAGACTTTAAATACGCGAAGAAAAAAAAGTATTTTTATGGCCGATAATCAAGTACTTTGCTACCAGAAACGAGCAAAAACTGTGTGTWAAATGTTACATATCCCTTAAATTTATTGGAGTGGAAAGTCGAAATCACTTTAGTTAATAAACTATATTCTCATTTTAACAAAAATGTTTAAAGAAGATACTAAAAAACGTAAAATAGTAAACATTTAGAAATTCTGAGCTGCAAACTTGCATATTTAACACTAAAAAACTTTTGAGAACTRGAAATGTTGATTCTAAAGTCGCTTTGATAAAGTGCCTGATAACTTTGAGCGTCAACCTCGATAGCAAAACATCTGTTTTGGGCTTTTTAAATAGCGCCTCTGGTAATCTTATTTTCAGCGAAGTCTCTCATCACATATGCCACATAGTACTACGAGTATAATTAGCTGAGAAAATCAACGTTTGAAGGAAATCCCGCCAATATTCATATTAATAATATGAAGTCAAAAGTGACTAAACGTCATACGAGCTGTCGTCGTTGTATTATGACTATTTGTCGGAGGTGAGAAGTGATGTTGTGATTTCAATAACTTTGTTTACTATTGTACGGCTAAAGTACACTGTTTAAAACACCAAATAACAGCTGTTAAGAAGAAAATCTGTCGTTTTTTGCTAATTAAAATCATGGTTTGCGTCGTTAATTGAGTAGCGAGGAGACAGCAAGCTTCGTATTCGTAAAGACCACAGATGAACCTATTCATACTAGCTTTTCCCTTCTACAGGTGATTCGCTTGAGATCCGAATACAGGTAAAGATGACCTACAGGGCTTGTAATTAGCCGGCAAACCTTTATAGCTCTTTGCAGCATACTTGAGTCCTATTAGAACTGAATACGATAGCACCTAATTTACACTTAATAACTCTCTACAACTCTAGAACAACTCGAATAGATTGGTCATGGTATTAAAACAATACGAGCTTGTATGTATAACCAATAGAGAGCTTGGTGACAGCGGAAGTTGAAATATTTATCCGCTGTGCTGTTTTTCGATWTTTTWWAAAAATCTTTCCCTCGGCCRTTCTTACKACTATAGAGAGCTTATAAAAGACGACCTTTTATTATAAAATGKCCGCCATTCCTTTTTTCAAAAGTTTCAAGCTGAAGGCTACTTTGAAGCTGTGTAGAAACTAGCAAATTCAAATAAAAACCTTGGTATTTTTTCTATTTCTAGGCCAATGGAATCATATAATAATTGTAAAAATATACAATTAAAAATACTAATAAAATTGAAAATTGAAATGAAAAAATGAAATTGTTTGCATAGTATTAAAGGGACACGGTCAATGGATGACATGCGCAGTAACAGTCTCACCTCTAACGGACTTTGAAAGTATTACCTTCGAGGTAAATCATTTTGTGGTGCTTTTGACACACTTTGGAATATTCTAGATCTGTTTACGTTTACGAKCTGATTTATGTCGCGCCAACTTGGAGTCATAMACTTGAAAACACTAGCCTAGTGTTTTCAAGTTTACTCGCGCATGTCATCCATTGACAGTAGTGTCCCTTTAAATGTATGGCTATGGGTGAATACAATATCGCATGGACAATAATCTACAAATGCGGAAAAATCTCTTTGCATAGCTTCTAAAGTAAAGCATAATTTATATTTGATACTCATGATGTGCTCTGTCTGATGAGTTTGAAATAAAATGAAAAATGAAAATGCACTATCTTGCTAATAAGATAATAGTCATCGCCGGACTTTTGTGGCCTATTAAGTCTGTTAGCAGAGTACGCAACCTTAGCTTCCTATTAAAAAAAAACTACTTGAACGAATGCTACATCACATGAACATTTATCTATAAAACAAGCCGATTTAAAATCTTTATTGAAAAATAATGCTATTTTTGCTCAGATTCTAGGCATACATATACTCTGATTATACACTCACGGGGACTGAGCGTAATTTATTTCGTTTGCGAGTGGGGTTGGTAATGAACATTTTTAATTTTTGACTCCTTTCTACCCCCCCCCCCCCCTCCGGCCTCCCCTTTTGATAAATATTGAATTGAATTGATAACTTTATTTTCTAGTGGCACCCACCCCAAAGCATCAAATATGTCTTTAGTACGTGTATCATAATCTGTCAAGGTTATGATTCGCGCAGCGCGATTTTGAAGTTTTTGAAGTTTGTCCACTAAACCTTTACGACACCCATCCCAAACCGCACTACAGTAATCAAAGTGAGGCTTGTCAAGAGCATTGTAAACTAATATAAGTGTAACCCTTGGTACGAAGCACCTGATGCGTTTCAATGCATGCACTTTATTCTTTAGGCAACTTTCTTAGACATAGACTGTATATGGTCTTCCCAACTTAGATTCTCGTCAATTATTACCCCGAGAGATCTAGCTGAGGAAGCCTGAGTAATCTGTTTATCATTGATGGTCAAAAGAGGTGTAGTATGGAAACCAGTCKCTGTCGAGATCCAATCAGCAGAAAGTCTGTCTTAGTCAAATTGATTGTCATCTTATTGGCAGCGAGCCATACAAAYACTCTCCTTAGATAATCGTTGACTTGGTCATTAATGTCATCAATATTGTTGCTAGCATATGTAAGGCTGGTATTATCAGCATACATTCCAGGGATTGAATTTGACAAACACTGAGGAAGATCATTAATRTAAAGAAGGAAAAGAAGTGGCCCCAAAATGGTTCCCTGTGGCACACCGCAAGTGATGCTCAACTCCTCAGATTGAAAACCATTGACAGAACACACCTGGGAGCGTTTTTTTAGGTACGAAGAAAACCATTTCAGTTCACTCCTTTAACTCCATCATACTGAAGCTTAGAAAGCAAGATATAATGGTCAAACCGTATCAAAGGCCTTTTTTAAGGTCTAGAAAAACTACGGAATTGACCAGTCCTTTGTCGATATTCTATGACCAACTATCAGTAGCTTCTAGTGGAGCTGTAAGAGTTGAATGGAGCGAGCGAAAGCCTGATTGATGTTGCGACAACAGTTTGTTGTTAATAAGATACTTATAAAATTGGTTATAGACTACTCGTTCAATCAATTTCGCTATTATTGGAATAACTGAAATTGGGCGATAATTAGAGGGATCATTCCGTTCCCCTGATTATTTGTAAAGTGGTGTAACTCTTGCTTTTTTCCATTCAACTGGAAAACGCCCTGAGTTATGGACTCATTAAAAATTTGAGTCAGTGACTCAGAAATCAAATCCGGACAAACTTTAACTTTTAAACTTTAACTTTGCGCAGTATCTTAGCTCTATTAGAAGAGAAACCTAACTACATGAATATGAACTTTAAACGTTGCCTGGTTTTTATAAGTGAAGATACAGGTTAATATCGAACAATAATTAGATTAAATTAATTTCCGACCTCGTTTTTTCCAGTTCAATGCGAGTGACCGCTGTTTTACCAGACAACAGACAAACTTGCGTAGAGCMATAAGAAAGCACGAAAAAATATCGACATTACAATGTCCCTAGAAATTTGAATCTTGATCTCCGATTTGTATTCCCACAGCATCTCAAATCGGAGAAAATGACAAACGATTTTCGTGTTTTGTTTTAGCATGAGAGACTGTTGTCAATCTAAACAGCGGTTGTCCGCTTTGAAAGGTAAAAAAGTGTATTTTCGCATACAGCTATTTCAAAAAACGTTGTCGGGGAGAACGGCGAACGGCGATTGTCGAAGGGAGATTGCACGACCGAAAGGGACTATGGTTACACTGTTTTGATAAACAAAATTTCACTTATAGACCCCTTGCATGTGACGTCAAAGCAGCTTCATCTGGAGGACAAAACAAAAGATTTTTATCCTCTTGGGAACTAGAATCTATTGTTTTGTCCTCCAGTTGCAGCTGCATTCCCATGAACTGCAAGGGGTCTATTGGAATCACCTTGCATAGAAATGGAGACTAAATGGAGCCAATGTTTAGCACAGACAATCTTACAGTACAAATCAGTTGTTATTGCCTTTCAACTAGCAAAACCCATGGCTACTTTCGGTCGTGCAATCGCCATTCGACAATTGACATTCGCCATTTTATCCGACAACCTTTTTTGAAATAGCTATATACCACGCTACAAACTTGCTAGTGTAAACGGGTGGCGTTTAGGATGTACAGTGCATTGGAAGGTTGAAAGTTTTTCTTTTTTATTCTTTTTTTTTGTTATAAAGGAATAATGTTATGACTAAAAAGAAGATTTTTTTATGAAGAAAAGAAAAGAAAACAGAAAAAGAACACAAGTRATTATCAATTTCCTAATATGCTAGTCTGGGCTCCCTCTGACAAGAATTCRGCCGTGCATGACCCTTTGGGAATACAGGATGAGTATTAATTCAGAGAAAATGCAAATTCTCATCAGTACTATTGTAACGACTGCATTTCTTCATGCTTGGTATTTCGTAAAGCCTTTGTCCGGCGGTAATACGCTTTTAACGTCAAAAATCAGCCTTGAAACTTGACAGTGTGCTTTGAAGAGTTCGTAGCGTTATTTTATGATTTCACTCTATTTGAAGACTTCATTTTTCATATTTTAGAAACAAGATGGATACTAAATGGATAGAATACAAGTGTAAATCAGGACAGACTCTGTATTACTACAACAAAGTGACAGGAMAACGCAAGTGGCCTTCGTATGCAAATGTAAGTAAGAAAGTCAAAACCACTTGCAACATAACGACTGGGCATTAAACCTTGAAATCAGTGATCATTTCAGTGTCCAGGATGACGTGAGTAGCCATGTACGTAGAAAACTTTGTATAGTCAAGTACGTAGTTACGTACGCTGCTACTTAGCCAAGTACGTATAGTMAAGTAAATAGTTACGTATGAGTTAAGTGCGTAGCCAAGCTCATATAGCCGAGTACGTAGTTACGTACGTGTATGTGTAGTCGAGAAAGTAGTTACGCAYGTGTATCCGTTTAGTAGTTAAGTWCGTGTAGTCAAGTACGTAGACAAGTAGATAGCCAAGTAAGTAGCAAAGTACGTAGCAAAGTACGCAGACAAGTGCGTAGACAAGTAGTTAAGAAGCACCAAATCCAAAAAGTCAAGGGTGTAAATGATTTTTAAATATAGTATTCCGGACGTAAAATGCAAAAACAACAACAACAACCTGCGTTCAGCCCAACCAAAACTGTATTGGTTCGAATGAACGCAGACTAGCATGAGGTCTCAGTAGCTTCTTTAGTCTGTCAAAAGTTTGTCAATTGCTCAATAATTCGTTTCAGTGTTCATTAACAGAAGACAAGAAGAGCGTGAACAGMCAGCCAGTCATCAACAAAGACTTGTGTACACAGACAGATATTGGTTGTCCTTCCAGTTTTGGGCTAAGCACAGAAACTTCACCTCAACAAAATACATTTGTTTTTCATGTAAAAGATGTTAAAGATGAGGAAGACAGTAGCATAGATGGAGATGGAATTATTGATGCAATGTTGAAAGTTCTTGAGGAAATAACTGATGGGAATGACGCTGAACATTTGGCAGAGTTTACAAGTGAAAACAACAATGAAGCAACAGATAAATATGTCAACTATAAAGATAGTGATGAGAATATGGAAAGTGAAATTCAAGAAAGAGATGGGAATACAGGCACTGAAGACTTGGTAATGTTTACAAGTGACGATAACAACAAAACAGAAGATATCTCCATTCCTGACCATGGGCAGAAGGAGAAACGTGTGGAATACTCACCTTGCAAAGAGATAGAAAATCTTCACAATAATTGTTCTTATTGCAACAAGAAATTCAGTTCAAAACATAATTTGAATGTTCATCTAAGAATACACACTGGAGAGAAACCTTATGAATGTTCTTACTGCAAAAAGAAATTTAAACAAACGTCGAATTTGAAACGTCACGTAACAGTTCACACAGGAGAGAAAGCATTTGAATGTTCTTATTGCCAAAAAAGATTTGCCCATAAGACCACTTTAAGAACCCACCTATATACGCACACTGGAGAGAAGTCTTATGAATGTTCCTTTTGCAATAAGAAATTTGCAAAGAGATCAGATTTGACCGTTCATCTAAGAACACATACCGTAGAAAAGCATTTTCAATGCACTTATTGTGGGAAAAAGTGTGTAAGGAAATCCGATTTGGTATCTCATTTACGAACACACACCAAAGAGAAACCCTTTCAATGTTCTCAGTGCAAACGAGTGTTTTCCCATAAGAACGTTTTAATAAATCACTTAAGGACACATACTGGAGAGAAGAACTTTGAATGTTCTTACTGCAAAAGGCAATTTACTCAAAAGGGTACTTTGAGAAGTCACTTGAGAATACACACTGGAGAGAAGCCATATCAATGTTCATGCTGCAAAAAGAAATTTACACAAATGTCAACTATGAAACGTCACCAAAGATTACACACTGGAGAGAAGCCCTTTGAATGTTCTAATATTGCAAAGTGAAATTTTCACTAAAGATGGGTCTTTCATTTAACATTTCATATTATGTTTTATTTACAGCCTTTTGCACAAATTATGAGAATTGTCTAAATATCTAAATATCATAATATCCAAATCCATATATTGTCCAGAACACGCGGGTTTGCTAGAATAATTCATTGTTGACATCGAGAAAATGTTCAGAACTACGGATAAGTCCGTCGCCAAAAAGAAAAAAAAAACTACAAAGACAAGGGACTAAGGGCATCGCGCGGGATTACATCATCATGCACTTGATATTATGATATTTAGATATTTCAACAATTCTCATAATTTTTGCTAAAGGCTGTATTTTCACAAGAATTTATTACTAGGAGTATTCGTGATGTGTATTTGGTTTGTTAACAAAGTTTTCATAGATGTCTCTATTGTAGGATTCTTTTGGACCAATGAGCAATCACTTCCGGTAATACGGACTGAAATCCGTGAAAAAAAAATAAAGAAACATGGCGAATATGACCGTTAAAGCAATTTATTTCTTCTAATCTTTGTGAACTAAGTGATTAAAAAAGAGGCCACTACTTAATCAAAGGGAAAACTGAAGAAAAATCTAAAATAGACACGTCTATGATAACGTCCTGTCTTAGTGACCCGCAAACATAACCTTTAAACAATATAATATTTGAATTTATTAAAAATGTATTTTTATAAATTTGGTGCTCGAGATATTTCCTGTACTGAAAAAGTGTTATTCCGAATTTTTAAAAGGATAGTTTTTGAGTTGACAGAAGTAAGATTTTGATTTTTGAACATGTTTATTTTTACAAGACAATGTTATGTAATTAAGGTGAGCGACGTCGTTTTCATACAATATACCGTCACGCAGTAGTACTCTCGACCTTACTGTAAGGTACAGAAAGCTGGATACCACGTACCGTACAGGAAGAGAAGAGACTAACAGCATTACACACCAGATGTCTTCT